CGGCATGCTATAGCACATTTCACGAAAGTATGATGTAGCGTATAGCACAAGCTAAAGGAGTTCATTCTGATGTCATGCGCCGCATTGCAAAAGCATCATGAGATACCCGCATCGCTCAACCTGAACACAATGCCGTCTTGGGTGTTGAGCAGGACTGAAGAGATCACAGGCAAGAGATTGGATATTGTGCAAAGCATCATATATTTCCGACGCAAAAGCCATTCAATAACATGTACGTACATAAGTCGTTCTTTGTTGGAAATCTCGATTGGGAGAAATTCTGCTGATGCATGAACAAACAAGTATACAGACTTTCAGATACGCCCCACTCGAAGAGTAGTTTCTGGTTGGTGAAGGTAGGGGGTAGGCCTGCTACGAGAAACCGAAACCGATATGGAACCCTAACTAGGTTGGATTTTGGGGCATTTTTTGTTTTCCTTGTTTGGGTTTATAAAGGACCCTATATATATATAGATGTTTTCCAGGGTGTTCAAAGGCCAACCCAGCTAAGATAAGTCCAAGCCCCAAGTCTCAAGTTGTACTTACCCGAAGGTCTTATCCTGAAGCCGCTGAAGCTGTAGCCGTTACCCAAGGGGCTTCATATATAGAATCCTATAAGGTAATCCCAAAAAGGATCTACTTTGGGGCCTGTGGGTACCTTCTGAATACAAGTTCCTAAACCCTAAACCCTAAAAAATATCAAAGCACACATCGCCAAGGAAGCGACGGCACTGGACGATGCAAAGCGGCGCGCGGCCGTGGTCATGGCGAAGATGTGCCGCCCCGAGGGTTCAGAAGATATTCGGAGGCCTCAAAAGGTGGGATGAAGGTGGGTGGGATGAAGGATCCCTTATATAAGGACTCTTAATTGGGAATATCCCACCTACCTTCGTCCCACCTTTTGAGGCCTCTGATTTCTGGAGCTCTAGGAAGATTTGCTGCACAGATTACGGGTTATTGTTTCTAAAATTTCTGAAGGGCGTTGCAGGTCTTGATACGTGTCTGTGTCGATGTTTAGGAGGGGGTCGCAGATGTGAACATAAATGAGTTTCCGAAAATAAGGGACCCATATGTATCACCCCAAACCTCAAGGATCCTCATTAGAAGGATCTCAAAATAAGGTACCCCTACCTAGACCCTCCATCTACCCTCTATTGGACCCTAAATGCCCCTTATTTGGGACCATATACCCCTGTTTGAGGGTACAAGGAGGGTCCTGGTAATTTTCGGAAACTCCCATATCGGGATTGTTTTGGGGCTCTAGGAGGCTTCCTCGTTCATGTGGCTAAGGGCTTTAAGGGTTTCGAGCCTTTCTGTTCGGGGTTTACTGTCTTCCCCTAGGGATCTAAGGACTCCCATATTAAGGTTTTTGGGCCCAAAGACCGTGCTATATAAGGCTTTTGGGTTATTTTGATCCCCAGGGTTCGTGGGCAAGGGTTGGGTCTCATTGAAATTACACTGGAGCTGTAAAGTCGAGGCCCTGTGCCCTAAACCCTAGTGATTACCTTAACCCTGAAGAACCTACCTTTTTCGGGTTCCTTACTATGATTTCTTTATATAAGTCCTTAAAAATGTAGGTTCTTCTGGGTTTTCAAGGTAACTAACCTTGAACCCTTGACAACCCTAAACCCCAACCGTAGACTGAACCGGGCCCTGCGAAAAAGGAGAATCGACTCGGGCTCAGATCATACACCCCAAAACCCCTACACACGACATTGTGGAAACGCTATACAAGACCCTATAAAACACGTGTAAGCGTGCAAAACATTGTAAGGACTGTATAAAGGATCCGAAGCAACCTTAAACCATGAACCCTTGAACCCTAAATCCACAAAGCCCACCAAAAAGGAGCACTTGAGCTTGAAGAGTGTGATAGAACGCTCTAGTACCCTTGAAGCAAACCCTATGATAGAACTCAAAGAGCACTCTTTTCAAGTTTGCCTGGGGCCTGAGGTCTCGAATTCAGCGCCTCCATCGTCGAACGTTTATCCTCCCGCCAAACAGGCTGGCCTGGGTTTGTTTGGTTGAGGGTTTAGGGTTTATAAGGCTCATAGGGTCTATGTACGTTGGACCTTTAGGGTCCATGTGAGGATCTCTTCTTCTGTCCTTATTAAAAACCATGCTGCAGCATCTGAACTTCAAACTTCAAACCAGTCACCGCTTCCTTTCTTCCACTTGCTCTTGCGTTTGTCTGGCACTTTCGGCCAGCGGGTGCTCGCAAAAGAAACGCTGACCGGCACTTTTCGTCCGGCAACCGCACGCACAAGATGCCACTGACTTAATCCTAAGCACTCAACCCGAAAACCTTAAGTTTATGTTAAAAAGAAGTACACCACACTACACATCAAGAACAGGAGTCCTTGCTGCGTTTTTTGAAACATGCTTGCGGCAAGAAAAATGAAGCTTCACGCTCGTCACCCTAGAACCGGACGGACAACTGCGTTTCACTGTTGTACCAGTAAAACACTGACGAATCATGTCCTTTGCATGATTTCGAAAAACAACATAGTCTTCTGTGTATATACGAGATTACAAAACAGGAAATATCACTCGCAATGCGTTTAATTCGAAAAATGAATGTTAGTGCTCTCAAGCCGCTGGATTGCATGCGGTGCCACTTGTCACCGGGTCCTTTGGAAAGCAGATACGCCTTGTGCTGCTCGAACTCCTTTATCGGAATAGCAATTGGGGTTTGAACTTCACAGGCCGTTTCTGGTTTAGGGTCTGGTCGTTTAGAACTGGATTCGAAAGTTGAGGGTTTGCGCAACCTGTTGATGGGTTTCGAGTCTGGTCGCTTAGATTCGGAAAGTTTACAGTTTAGAATGTGTAGCTTACGGTTATTTACGGTTTCAACTTGTCTAGGTTTCAGTGCCTGCGGTGTTTTAGGATGGATTGAAATTAAAAAAAAGTCCTAAAGCTTGACATAAAACTATGATCCTCTATAATACCAACACGTAACACAATACGACAAGCGTCGCGACCCAACTGGTTGTCCAAGGCCTTACTGTTACCGTTGGAGCTGTCACCGTAGGAGCTGTCACCGTAGGAGCTGTCACCGTAAGAGCTGTCACCGTAGGAGCTGTCACCGTAGGAGCTGTCACCGTAGGACCTGTCACCGTAGGAGCTGTCACCGTAAGAGCTGTGACGGTAGGAGCTGTCACCGTAGCAGCGGTCACCGTAGGAGCTGTGACGGTAGGAGCTGTCACCGTAGGAGCTGTGACTGTAGGAGCTGTCACTGTAGGAGCTGCGCTTCCACTGCCACTGCTGGACGCCCCAGCGGCCCTAGCGAGAAAAAAAAATTTGCTGTGTTTTGGCATGCGGACGACTTCTTCATGTGGATCTGCAGACTTTATGGTTCTGTCCCATAATTAAGTCTTACCAGCTACAGGTTATGGTTGAGAATTACATAGCTGAATCTCTGGGTTTAGGTTGACAGACTCAAGGTTAAAGCGTTTTCTAGAATCCCGCAACAATCTTTCAGCTTGCACAGCCTGGTACCACGACTGCACACGCGCGGCGCGGCGCTGCCTTCGGCTACCCTCGCCGTTCCACGAAACGAAAGCAGGCGGCATCCCGAGGCACGGAAACTACAAGCCTACCGGAGAGTTGGCACTACAAGCTTGGGCGACGCCAAAAAACTGCGACATAGCATAAAGTCATGCGAGGAAGAAGGTTAACTTGCCACGGATCAACTTGGACTCGGATCCGTTCACACGACCCACGCGACACATCAGTGGCATGACAGCTTTAGGACCTGCCATTCCCCCATCGATTCCACATGGAACATCATAAATTTCTCTAAAAAAAAATAACTGTCACATGCGTGAGGGTTTGATATCGATAGTATAGTGACTACACAACACATCAAATCCAGCCATTCCCCCATGTCGATTCTCAATTCTACAAGCAGCTGAGCGAGACACAGACACACACACACACACACACACGCACATAATTGATCATCCATAACCTCACAGCACATCACAGCCAGCCATCCCCCAATGTAGACGCTCGATTCCACAGGCAGCCGCTCGCAAACACACACACACACATACCCAGTCTGAGCTGATTGTCTGTCATCATCTTTCTTCGAGCTTCGACTTGGCGTACTCTTCCGACAGAACGCGTAGGCTGCTTCCAGAATCTCTGCGTGTATTTCTTGATGTCGTTACAAACAGTAACTTAGAGGATCAAGTACACATCTAGATGGAATGCGACTCCAGCTATATACAAAAGGTACAATCGAGCGAAACTGAAAAGTGCAGTCACTGTATCTACACGACAATGACTTGTCTGGATCGATGCAGGTACGTCCAGGTCATAAGCCTGGATATCCCCAGCTAAGAGTAGCTTCGTTAGTAGTGGACTCTTGAGTGGGCCACTGCCCCCACACTCTCGTATGTACGACAATGTCTGCAACAGCAACTTCCTTAAGAACAGGAAGTCCACACACACATCAGTGGCATCACAGCTAGGACCAGCCATTCCCCATCTAGACGCTCGATTCCACATGGAACAATCGAAGCGCTCACAATTAGAAGTGACTGTCTCAAGTACAGTTCCCGAGTTCGGACGCTCGTCGATATGTATTTCGATCCATTGAAGGGAGATGCAGCGACCCCTTGTACAGAAGTTGATCGAGACAACGATTTGGCCGTTGTTTGTTACAGACTTCGAGGAAACGATACAACGGAGGGAGATTCTCTAAGGATCGTGGGTTCGGATCCGTTCACAGGACTGGACCAATAAAGATCCGCCACAGCCGCGCAGACTTCGAGGAAACGATACAACGGAGGGAGATTCTCTCAGGATCGTGGGTTCGGATCCGTTCACAGGACTGGACCAATAAAGATCTGCCACAGCTGCGCCAGCATGAAGAATGAATGCAACGGAAGAAGAACAAGGCAACATTCTTTTGTTGCAAATGCCGCAGCAACATAAGCTGTGCCCAGGGCCAGCCCTCAAAAAAAGGTTCGGTGGCATGTCGGTGTGCGACCGAGCTACATATAAAATCCGACAGGATCGACTTCGCGATCTACTGCAACGAGGCAGCCTGCGATATCATTAACGGTGAACAAGACCAAGAGAACGGCCGGCTTATTGCCGTCCTCGGACGGAAAGAATGCGCACTTCCAATTTCCGTGGCGGAGCCATGAAATGGCCAGGTCGACTGCCTCACTGCCCTCGTTGAGATGGCGCCATGAAGTCAGCAACTCTCCGGAGGTGCCCAGAGTTTCCGCGAGGAAGTCCTCTAGACTCATCCGATATGCATCACTGGGCAACCCAACAGCCTTCTGAAGGTAAGACAGCGTCCAGATGCTGACGTTTGCAGTCATGAAGACGGTGTCCACTTTGACTGCCTCATTCAAGCCAGGGTAGAAGATATCGAGATCCTCGAGCGAGCGCAAGATGGCGCAATTGGAGTTCCAGGAGATTCGACCTGCTTGCAGACTTCTTACGACCACAGCTGCACCAAGAGAATTCTCGTCAAGCAGAGGCGTAGAAACCTCGTTGTTATCTGCCAGGTCTTCCTCTTCATGGAAGCCTTCATGTTGCGTCACGGGCACCGCCCGGGCTTGCTGCAGCCAGTCCCCCACAACGTCCTTGGCACTTGACGTTTTGGGCAAAGACGACAGCAAACGTGCCACGGTTGCAAGACCCAGAGTCTCTACCACCAAGAGTAGAGCCGGTGTAGGAAGTCTGTCCATGACGACGAAGAAACGTCGTGAGTTTCGACAGGAGCACCCTCTGGACTCACCTTCTGGCTACTGGAACAGCTTGATGCATGAAGCACGCATGCGGGGAGACTGCTTTCTGTGAAGACTATAAATACTTCAGTGACTTCAGTCTACGTGCAATGGTTTTCGGCAGTCGCCTTCATGACAACCCAAGCACACATCCGGAGACTGCCGGTCTGCACGCTCACTTTCACGCAGGATCTTGCCTGTACTCTGCTTAGACAAATATTAGAGGGTGAAACAAGGCGTCAGGCCCAAGAACAGAAGACAATTCAGCACTGCTGCCATGGAGTCCGCTCGCTACTCAGTGGCAGCTTCTTCTGCCTCCTCTTTTAAAAGAATCTTGTCTTTCTAGTGTGTGAGGTGTTCGCCGTACTGTAGACCTCGCCGAGGGGGCACTGGCAGGCCTCTTGCGGCAACCGCGAACAATGCTTTTCTGGGTCTCTCTAGCCTCATGGAACGGGAGGTGAGCTTTCATCTTGGCTCCTTCCCCATCCTCCAACTCTGAGCACCAGGCAGCCCACTCGCCCTCTGTCCATAGACACTGCCGGGTGGCTCTTGCGAGCACTTCCGCATGTGTCATTTGACAGGATGTCGTGTGGTACAAAGCCCGGTTGTGGGAGAGCAGCTTGCCCAGGCGAAGAATTTCCAGCTTCATCTCCAGCGTGGCCTGATGCATCATCTGGGTCTCCTTAAACCACCGATTGATTTCGGCGTGCAGGGACTCATTCGATGTCGTTCCGACAGGGAGCAATGGCAAGGCACGTGCATGAAGACTGTGCCTGATGCGAAGATTATTCAGGTACCACTCTGATCTTTCCGGGCTTGTGGCACCAAGCAGGAGTTGCCACACTCGCTTGTTGGGTCCTGGACAAAGGCGAGTCATGTCATCCCGAAAAACATTCGCCACCGCTGCAATCAACTGAATCCATTCAAGACGAGTGTAGATTGGTTTCTCGTCGTCCAGCTCATTGAGGAGGCGCTGGGCATCGTGCTGACGCATGCTGCGATCTTCGACATGCCGTCGAAATCGTTCTTCTTCGGCAGTCAGATGCTTTGCTTTGCCGCCGCTGAATATCTTCCCGAAGGCCTCCGGTCCCACAGCAGTGTCGACGGCAGCAAATTTGGCCAGGACTCTGCGCAACGCCTTGGTCGCGCCTGTCCTCCTGCGAGCGCTGCCGTACTCGCAGGTCATGGCCAAATGCACCGTGTCCAAGCTCATGCCCTGAAGGTTTGGGCACAAGCTTTTCAGTGTGGAGAAGTACTTTCGGGAGGGGTTGTCGACAGACACGTACATGATCTGGCCCAAAGCTGCAGCCGGGAGAGTCTCCGCCAGTAGATAGGCTGCTGTGTCAGAATCTTCCGCCTGCGCCGCACGCATCACGACCACAGCGTTTGTTCGGCCCCGCACGGTGATGACCTTGGTGTTGGAGGGGCAGCAGGGGTACACTAGCAGCATTTCTGTCACCGTCACTGTATCACACTTAACTAACACAAACGAGTTGCTCGGCGTAGACACTGTTCTTCTGCAAAAGGTGCTTCAGCTCTTTCGATGGGAGACGCTTTGATGCGTGCTTGTCCGAGGAGTGGCATGCAGCAGCGCATGGTGGCGTCGATACTGAGACATCGCATTTCCTTGTGCTGAACACACTCGGCGATCAGCTGGTCGCCAAGTTGACGCACATGAGGCGAGCTGAAGATGTCCTCAATGAGCGGCCACCAGTCTTTCGAATGACTGGGAAAAAGGCTGCAGGCTCGGTTGCTGATCTCAGCTTTCATGGCGGTCATCGTCGGGAAGAACTGCAAGGGGCACAAATTTAATGCATGGAGTGTATCTTGTTCCTGCGATAACGAGTTAGCACATCTTGGACAGCTCATATATAGGCGCTAGGTGCGGAGGTACTGACTTAATTACTCAAGAACCTGCCTTGGCATTGTTCAGGATGGTCTTCTGAAAGATTTTCTGCGCAAAGCCGAGATTGTAATAGAGATTGCGACTTCTTCGGAGACCCGCGCTGATGGTGGCTTCCAAGTTCCAGTACTCAGGACCATCTTGCGTGAAAACCAACCGAATTTTCTTGTCGATGCTATTTCGGGTAGAAGACAAGGGAGGGCGAACTGTATCCCGAATCATGTCTGCACTTCGCCTGAGATAATTGCATGCTGCGGGCATTCCCTCCAATTTGTCCTGATCGTGCAGCGCCAGAACAAGCTTGATCTGCTTCGTGCCACTGGCACTGTATTGCTTCTTGGAGGTGTGGTGCTTCCTGATATGGACAAGCACCCGGCAGGCATTATGTCTGCTCCACGATCTGAAAGGACACAGGGGACACCGAGCGCGGCCAGACGCGTCCGGGCGCGGAGTCCTTCTGTCTGCAGCAACAGCGTCGATTTCCTCCGATAGCTTCCGAAGAAGAACATCGCCCACATGCGTGACCGCCTCGTTGTCTTGCTCGAACTCCCTGTTGTTGTCGTCGTCGATGTCTCTGCTGGAATCATCACCTGCGCATGCTTGCAGCTCCAGCAGTCTTTCGACCTCTGTTTTTTCCAGTCTTGCAATGCTCCCCGGCAAGTTCGGCCACGCTGCAGGGTCTTCCCACACCTGAAAGAACACAACATGTCGAGAGTCGATGGCCGCAGCGAACGCATTCCAGAAGAGCCGGTTCTGGATGGTAAAAGTTGCGTTGCCGTCCATGACGATGAAGTTGCCTGGAGTATCTGCACGCAGCCCCACGCAGTGTGGCTTGTTGTTCTTCGTCAAGTGGATGAGGAAGTTGCCTTCCAGGGGCATGTGAGCAAACTCTGTCGAGCTCATCCAGGGCGTGAGGGTAACTTGCGTGGCTTCCACGACCTGAAGATAAGTGCGATGCCTCCGACGTCGAAAGTATACAGCTGCCTCACTGTCAGTGTCGCCCAGCATCTTTCCAGCGGCATCTGTATGCCCGAGCCTGTGCAAGGCGCAGAGAATGCAGTTGCCTTCGTCTGTAAGAGTCGCGGGCTCGATGCTTTCTGCATCTCTGGACGCACTTCCGACACGAATGCCTTCCAGAAAAGTTTGGTGGCTTTTTGGGCGCAAGGACACATCGAAACCTGTCCTGCTTTTGATGTGTGATGCGCACTCGACGCAGAAAGCTTCTACGCTGGAGCCCACAGCGGCTTGGTCAACTCGGATGCCGTCAAAGTGTAGACTCACGTGTGATGGCTGTTGCTCTTGGATTTTCTCGAGCCAAGCAGAAATAATGAGATCCTCGACGGCGCTCCAAATGAAAAACAATGTCGATGCTTCGGGATGCGAGCGGTCTTCGTCTTCCACCATCTGTCCGAAAACCTCTGGGGATACGGAGACGCACGTCCACCTGCAGAACATGGCCGCTTTCTGCAAACGAAGCACAAAATCCTGCGAAGCCAGGTGCTCCGGCGGTGCTCCTCCATTGAAGATTTTGTTCAGCAGCTTCTTGCCATGTGCAGTGCTGGTCTGAAAGACTTCGTGGATGATGCTCTCGCGATCTTCTGCGCACCTGCGAAGTGTTTCTTTAACCTGCGGCCACATAGGATGCGCGGGCTCCAGTCTCGCCATGATCTGGTACATCAACTTGAAGCAACAATTCTCGATGTCCAGATCAACAGTGTGCTCGGCAACTTGTTTTTGCCAATAACGGGATAGCCTCGGGCAGCAGAAAGAATGAGAAGAACGTATGTTTCATGGGAGTTTGAAGGATGACAGCTTCCAAGGCTTTTAATCTGATCACCCTGGAATTTAAAAGGCCCTCGCTCCAAAACCAAACCATGTTTGACTGTATGTTCTTTTTGCAAGCAGGGGTCTTCTGCATGGAGAAACCGTTCGCGTAGCGGCGAGTACGGATGAGGTCCCCCAGCTTCCAGCTATAAGTCGTTTGGAAGTCAACGGTCGCAGAGGCAGTGAATGGGTTGGTATCCTGAGTCTGACTGCGTTCAGGCGCGGGTCCCTTGACCCGTTGCCTCTTCTGTAAGGCCCGAGCTTCCATGTGATCCAGAAGTTCCCGCGCTGCTCTCTCCTCGTCGCGCAACTTGTCCATTTTCTCTCTCCAGAACTGGATTGCATTTTCTTCGTGCACTGTTTTCTTGCCCCTTTTCCTGCTAAGCCTCTGGATAAATTTCTCCAGGAAGTGTGACAGAATCTCAACGTTGCTTTCCCTCGAAGTGCAGGAATATGTGGCAGTGTAGAGCGAGCGAGCGTCCATTCGCTCTGCAAGCACAGTCCTTTCGGCCGGCGTGCACAGCGTCTCCATAAACGATGTTACTGGCTTTGACATCCGGACTGTGGGCACGTACTGCAGAGAGTTTTGAAAACTGCGTGTGGGCAGAAGAGTCTTGGATTCCACCAGCTTCTTCCAGATTTCACCAAGTCTTTTCGAAGCAAACTTCCCCTTGGACTGGCCGTTGCGCTTCCACCAAGCCTCCGAGATTTTTGGGGCAACGAAGCCTTGTTTCGGGTTCTGCTGCATCAAGGCGGTGATGATGTTGTCGGTTGCCGTTCGATCCTCAGTTGGGATCTCTGCCGCCTGCGTGGGTTCCTCGTTTCCCTGGCGTTCTTGGGACCCAGTGGCGGTCTCGACAGCGGCGAGCACCGCCGGCTTGCCAGAGCGAGGTCTCGACTCCAAACCACAGGCCTTGCGTATTTTTTCTTCGGTCAGCCCGGCCGATGCATAGTTTTCGATGATATTTCGGCAGTCCTCTCGCGAATTGACAAGTTCAAACCCCAGCTGATGCCGAAGCGAAGCCGCAATTGCAGGACCAGACTCCAGAAATGCTCGCAAAGTCGGGTCCTTCGGGAAAATTCCATCCTGGGCAGCATCTGGGTATTCTCTCTTGATGTAGTCGGGATCCAGGAAAAGCGCTCGTGCCTTCCAGACCAGGCTGCGACGAAAGATCGAATTGAAACTGCTCTCCGAGACGTTGTGGAATTCCAGCAGATCGTTTGTCTCAATTCGTTTCCATCCGATCACGCGCAGCATGCGGGTAACGTACCCGTAGGGTTTCCGCGCTGCGAGATCGTCAGCAGAGACCAGCTTCTTGTACAGGTCCTCACGGAACTTGCGGTTGCTGTCCGGCCTCTCCTGGGCTGTAAGGATGAATGCCGAGGCGAAGTTTTCCAGCTGCTTGCGCAGCTCATCCTCGTTGTACCACAAATTCGGGTCTATAAAGGAATGGTTCTCCTTATACACCGCAGCTAAATGACTGCTGTACAGTCCTTGGCCTGTGCCGCCGCCGCTCTCCCCCAAAAAGCAACGATCAACGTTCTCTCCGCGCTTGCTCAAGGCAATGGCAGCCAGACAACAAGCGAAGAACTCATCGTTGCACCAAAAAGTCTGCGAATAGAACAACTCCAATCTCTGCTTCGCCTGTTCCAGGACCGGATCTCGCAAAGGATGTGGAATGCGGACATACAGGTTGTTTTCCGGGGATGGCTGCACAAACACAACATTGGCGTCTTCTCGATCGTATAAGAGGCTAACGTCGTTGAATGCGACTCCAGCCTGACGACAAGAGGGTGTGTCGCACCAAGCCACTATGAAGCGCATCAAATTGCGCTCATCCAACAAGTCCCTTTGTATTGATGGAAGAACCTTGAGCAGCATCTCTGCCACAGCCGAAGGCCAACCGCCGCTGTCTGGCGCAGCTGCATCGTCATCTCTCACTGGTGGCCGTCCCTGCGCCCGTCGTCTCACGGTGCTGCGGCTCGCGTACAGGCATGTGTCCTGGCAGACTTGCAAAAACTCTGTAATCCCGTTGTAGTCTCGGAGACAATCTGTCACAGCATCTAGTATTCCTTCATCCGTGCGAGTGCAATTTTGTGGTAGAAGACGGAAAATACCTTCCAGTCGCAGCAGAAACGTCTTGACTCGCATCAACGTCGACTCTCGAGGGATTCCATTGTATCGCTCAAATGCACCATGGTCGTGATACAGATAACACTGTCCATCGTGTGCTCTCAGATGTCTGCCTCCCTCGCTCAACCAGAGCAGCGCGACGTTGTCGCGAACGAAGACATCGGAGTAACGCGTCCTGTACACATTGAGTGCTGCTGCGATGAGCCGCACAAAATCGTCCGGCCACAGAGGGCGTCGCATTGAAACGTACTCTCTCAGTTGCTCACTGTGCTGCAAGATTGACCTGTGGCCATCTGAGGAAGCCTGGGGCGGAAGAGACTTCATGAACGTTTCGCTTGCCTCAGCTGCCGAGTTGAAGTGCTCACTGAAAGCCTGTCCTGTCTTTTGTGCCGCCGGCGTCAAGCGCCTTTTCCTCGTGGCAGCATGCTTGTCCACAAGAGTCAAGATTTCGGGCCCTGTCGCCTGTCCTTGCATGTTGCCGGGTCGATCCTGCGTGTCGGGCAGGTCGGGCAGCTGAGATTCACGTTGGGAATTCTGCAGGTCCGGCAAGTTGGAATCATCCGCAACAAGAGCTAACTTGCTAGCCAGAACTGAATCGCGTCGAAACGCCACCAAGGCAGCAACATCCACGACGCCGTCCTCCACCTCCTGAACGAATCCTTCCGGGTGAAACTGGGGGTGCGTGCAGCAAACGAAGCACCTGGAAACTTTCAGATCGTAGTAAGTTTCCAATATCCATTTGTACAAGCTCAGTTGCACTCGGTAAGCTTCCCCTTGGCAATCCATTAGTTCCTGCAGAGGAGGCTTCATGTAGTGCGGCGACTGATACTTAGTCGGAAGGTTCTGGCTCCTCTTCCAATCAACTATGATATACTCGTCCTTGTCCCTGCTTTTGAGGACCAAGTCAACAGACCCAGCCAAGTCCTCATTGTCCGCGAAGATGGCCCACTCCGTACGGAATACTACATGTGTTTTTTGGAACTGCATCAAAAACTGTAGCATGATGTCCAACTCCATATCCATGGGCGATGCCAGTACGTCATGCCCGTTGAGCACATGCTCGAACATGGAATGCATCCATGTGCCAGCATTCGCTGCCGTTTTCCGCTTATTTGTCCACTGCAGTTGAATTTCAGCATCGCTCAAGCACACGATTGCAAGCAACTGCTCCCACACACCAGCGAGATCACTTCGCAAGCGAGATAGCTCGCTACAGAAAGGACCTCTTTCAATGGGATTCTCATTCAGTAGGTGAACCAGGTGGGACACTATTTCCGAGTCCACGGATTCCAGAAGTTCTCGCACTGCCTGGACGTCGAAAGTCCCTTCCGACCTCATGTACTCTTCTCGAGGCCATCTCATGCTTGCCTTCATCGAGGCGATGGCGGCCAGCGCTGAAAATTCCTGGCCAAACCGGTGAATGAAGCCTGTGACCTCGGCGGCAGGTAGTAGGATCGGGACAGCTTCCACAAACTGCGCACGCGAAGACTTGTCTGATTCAGCCCATCGTACGCATGCTTATATAATTATTCATTCTAGCTTTACTGCTTTTCTTTTGTCCGGGCGACGTGCATGTTCCTACTGCGATCTCCAGCCGAGATGCACTCAGGCTCACCACTTGACCATCCCAGAAGTATGTGTGGTCAGACGGTCGAAACTTTAAACGGGAGTCTCGGGGGTGGCCATTGATCCGAAACAGAGCATCAGAAGAACCCAGGTCAGAAATGTCTTCAAAATCAGGGTCCGCCGCCATGTAAAAGGGAGGCTGCGAAGGAGCAGTGAGCCCTAGCACCTCTACAACCATGTCCTGGAGCACTGCTGGCCACTCTCTTTCAAATCTTGTCTTTGTGCTGCCGGGAAGAGCATCTCCATGTCTTCGTGGCAGTTGCGGCGTCCGGACGGCCTGGGCGGACGCCGCCACTTCTGCCCCGAAGCCGTCGTGATTGCTGACAGGCTCCACCGCCAGGCTCTCGTGCTGCAAGTGCATGGCAACTCGACAGGCTTGCGCACGCCACGCTGCAAGATCCATGCCAGTTTCTCGCGGATCTGGAAGTTCTGCAAGAAAGTGACGTCGGCCCGAGGCAACCTTCATGCACTCTGCGTGCAAGAAGTGGTACAGCAGAGTGTCCTTCTGATGCGACAGAAAGTCTAGCACTGTGCGTGCTCGGTACAACATTTTCTCCCATTTCCGCTTGCTCATCCCAACACGTTCCTGCGGATGTGGAAGCAACTTTGGGGCCTCTGGCAGAAGTTGCACCAATGCTTTGTGGCGCCCAAGAAGATCCCTAACAACTAGCGAAGAATTGTCCTCGGCGCCAGTGCGCAGTCCAGTTTCCATCTCGGTCAAGAACTCGTCGGCTCCGATGTACCGCTGCGGAGTCCAGTCCTCCTGCGCCGGTCCCCCACTCCCGCCGCAGAAGTCTCGGAAAACGGTAAAACAGTTGGAGCAAGACCGATCAGGACTCTGTGCTATGTGTCTCTGACACATCATTCCAGAACAGCGCGGACATACGGCCCAAGGCTGCGCAGAGATGCTATGCGTCTCTTGGCAGACCATGCACTGAATGTCAACATTGGCATCCAGGGCTGTAGGCAGGGCTCGCATACCGGCATGATCAAGAGGCGTGTCACGTCTTACAAACATAGTCACGAAGACATGTGATAGTGGCGGAGCCGCCAGTACTTGTTCTGCGTCGAAGCGAACTGT